GAGCATTTAAGTACCTTAGGCTCAGACCTGTTCTGTCCTATACATCCAGTATTTTTTTAGATAGCACATTTTCTGAATAAATCCAATAACATTACAACTCTTGAAAATCAGTCAAATAATTTAAAGAATTGTTCTCATTTAATGTTCTTGTTCCCACACAAACCGCAATGCATCAAATGCAAGATATTCTTCATCACACAAAATAAAAGCGAGGCATTAAAATAGGAAAGTCTGGTGTAGTACTTAATGATGAGCGCGAAATAAACCAATATACACCAATTATTAATTTTTTAAAATACATAATTTTATGTACACAATTGCAGAGGTAAAACAAAAGACAGTTCCCGCTTCTGTATCGTGGGGTGAAGGGTTCAGGGGAACTCAACAGGATAAGCTACTCCTGGAAGAAAAAAAAACATAATATTTCATCCATGTGCTGTGCATACATTTACATATTATATCCGACTGAAATGTGCAAGATTTTGCTCACAGTAGATGATAGATCGTCAGAGGATTCAAGGCACTGTTATGGACTGCTCTCTCCGTCCATTTCAACAATCCCACTAAAAGATGGTGCTTCACCCTCTGCTCCCTGCAGGATGGAGTCTTTGTCACCGTCTTTGTTTTCATCATCCTGCAACATTACAAAAGAGAAAAGATGTCACCCAGGACTATCTGTGCCAGAGAACATAAAGAGGAAACAGAAGCGGAGAACAAGGCTGCATGCATTTTAAGAGCTAATAAAACAACTATATAGGTCCTACAAAAGTAAGAGCAGTATCTTACAGGTCACAAAGTGAGATTTCACAGCTACAGAGACTTCACATCATATCATGATTTCTTGGTCTATGTGAACTATTTCCTGATGTGCAGACATTATGTAAAGTTTTGGATAAACCATATCACCAGCTTTGCATTTGAGATCCCACAGACTGAACATTTTATATTCAAGATATATTGTAGAAACAATACTGGGAGATCACAACACTGTGCATATTCATGATTAACTTTGGTTTAATGTTTATGTGCATGCACTAGAGTTATTCCTGTCAAAATATAATGCACATAAATAATGAAGGACTGTTAGTAGATCATCACTCTGTCCAGGTTCTCAGGATACAAAAACAACTTTGAGTATTAAATTTTAAAAAAAGAAAAGAAAATGATCAGATGGCGTTAGAAATAACTAAGAATGATCTTAAATGCCTAAAAATACTTATATTACTTTTTTACTCATATTTCTTTCTTTTCATGACCTACAAATGAAAAAGGTGTAATAGGTCACATTATGTTTATCATAATTTAGTCATACAGAAAATCTACTTTTTTTTTGTAGATTATAATATTGTCACAACTGCAGGTTCTTCCCTGAGGCTCAGACTGCAAGAGGATACACATCTTTCCTCATTAGGTCTATTCTGTGTAGAATACTCTGCAGGGATTGTGAAAAATAAGTGT